GTTACCTTGGTAACCATCATTCATTCTTATTGCTACGGTACGTTACCATGGCAACCATCACACATTCCCATTCCTATGCTCAGTTACCATGCGAAACAGCATACATTCCCGTTGCTATGGTTGGTTACCATGGCAACCATCAGACATTGCCATTGCTATGGTCAGTTACCATGGCAACCATTACACATTCCCATTGCTGTGGTCGTTACACAAAGGCTGTCCCTTCTCTGCCCAGCCAAGGCTGGGCCAGGCACGAGTCCAAATCCCATCAGCCCAGGCTGTCCACACTTGTTTCCTCCCTCTGCTGGCTCTGCTCTCCCCCAGCATTTCAGCAGCATGTGCTGATCTCCTCAGGGATCAGGCCTGGGATTTTCCCCCTGGGCCTGAGTCCCAGCACGTCCACCCCCAAGGCCACTGTCAGCAAAGCCTCTGCACAGCCCAGCTCTCGGGGCTTTCAGAGCAGCTTTCCCCACTGCAAGTCTGTTCTGACCCCGGTGCCCCCACTGAGGGGCTGCAGCCAGACAGGCCCCAATGCCCTGCGTGTGGGGCACAGGCAGGAGGAGCTGCAGCCCCAAGTCTCTCTTCATTCCACTTGCAGGCAATAACAGCCCAGGCCTGCTGAGACAGCTCCCAGGTTGCAGGGCTGTGATGGGCTGGGAGAGAAGGTCAAGGAGACCCAGGAGAGAAGGAGCAGGAGAGAGGTGTCCTCAGCAGGAAGGAGCTTCTGGGACCTGTGGAGCTGCTCTAGGGGATGAACAAACTGGGTGAACTTTTGTGGGTGAGGGTGAGAGGAGAGAGTGGTTTGGGTGACATTGTGGAGTGAGACAAAGAGCCCATTCCAGTTGGCTTTGATAACCCTGGAATTCACTGGAAAGGCAGCACGAGAGGATGGAAAGAGTCCCAGAGGTTGGTGCAGGGTCTTGGTGAAGACAGCCCTTGGGCCACAGGCCTTTAGAGCACAGCTGCCAGGCTGGTGGACAACAGGGAGGCTCATCTGCATCTGCTTCTGTCCAAGGGGAACCAAGAGGTTCCCATAGTAAGTGACTGTAGTGATGGGAATGTACGATGGTTGCCATGGTAAGTGACTGTAGCAACGCGACTGTATGATTGTTGCCATGGTAACTGACCATAGCAATGGGAATGTATGATGGTTGCTATAGTAACCGACTGTAGCAATGGGAGTGTGTGGTGGTGGTTGCCATGGTAACCAGCCGTGGCAATTAGAATGTATGGTGGTTGCCATGGTAAGCGACCAGAGCAATAAGAATGTATGATGGTTTCCATAGTAACCGACTGTAGCGATAGGAATGTATGATGGTTGCTATGGTAACTGACCATTGCAATGGGAATGTGTGATGGTTGCCATGGTAACTGACCGTTGCAATGGGAATGTGTGGTGGTTGCCATGGTAACCTCCCATAGCAAGGGGAATGTATGATGGTTGCCATGGTAACTGACTGTAGAAACGGGAATGTGTGGTGCTTGACATGGTAACCGACTGCACCAGTGGGAGGTATGGTGATTGCCATGGTAACCGACCATAGCAGTGGGATGGTTGCCATGGTAGCTAGCTGTAGCAATTTGAATCTATGCTGGTTGCCGTAGTAACTGACCGTAGAAACTGGAATGTATGGTGGTTGCCATAGTAACCGAGTGTACCAGTGGGAGGTATGCTTGTTGCCATGGTAACCGACTGTTGCAACACAACTGTATGATGTTTGCCATGGTAACTGACCGTAGCAACAGGAATGAATGATGGCTGCCATGGTAACCGACCATAGCAATGGGAATGTATGATGGTTGCCATGGTAACTGACCATAGAATTGGGAATGTATGATGGTTGCCATGGTAACCGACCATAGCATTGGGAATTTATTATGGTTGCCATGGTAACCAACCATAGCAATAAGAATGTATGATGGTTTCCATGGTAAATGACGATAGCAATGGAAATGTATGGTGGTTGCCATGGTAACTGACTGTATCAGTGGGAAGTATGATGGGAGGGGGGTGGGAAAGCAGGAGGGGTGTGTGCAGCCTGCAAGGCCAGAGCAGCAGCAGGGCCAGGGCAGGACAGCCTGCAGGAGAGATGGCCAAGGGCTCTGGCAGGGCTGCAAGGCCCAAAGGCACCCAGGCCTTTGTCCCCTTGCCTCTGGCAGCTGCCTCTGCCACTCAGGCCACCACAAGCAACTTTCCTGGCAGGTTCTGCCCTTGGGTTCTGCCTCGCCCCTCCCTCAGGAGCCTGGCAGGGGTTGCCCAGTTTTGGGCCTTTGTTGTTCCTCCCCCTCCCCTCCCAGTGCCCCCCAAACAGCCCTGAGCCAGCCGGGAGGGACAGGATCTGCTGGGCCAGGGCCTGGGGCTCAGGCCTTGGCCTTTGTGCTCCACAAAACCAAGGCAGGCTTTGCTCAGCATTGCAGGGGCCTGCCCAGAGCCTTTGTCTGCCTGCACTCCTGGCCTCCAAGGAGCTGCTCCAAGGAGTCCCTGGGGAGGCTTTGGCAGTGCCTGCCCTCAGTGGGGCCCAGCAATGCTTCAAGGCACTGGCAGTTTGGCTTCTGACTTCTTCAGCAGCTGCTTCAATCTTCTCTCACTACCTCAGGATCATGGGCTGGGCTGCAAACACACCGTGGGGCTCATTAAAATCCTGAAATCCCTCAGGATCTCTTTGTCTTCCTTTAATTGTCTTCAAGGTAATTTCAAAACAAGTCTTCAAAGTTTGTACTTTTTTTGTTTTAATTCAATTATGGATATATTTTAGTTCAGAGAAGAGGTGATAGAGGTGTTCTCCAAGTGATCTTGATGCTGAGTGTCTCCTCAGGAGATCCACACTGACCCTGGATGATCAACCTCGCTCCTCATCCCCCAACCTCACCAGTTCTGACATGGCCCATCTTGGACTGACAGCTGATGCAGCTCCAAACACACTGTGGAATCCATACTCTCCCTTACCCTTATCCTGCCTTTCCCTTATGCATTTTCCCTAAAGGTTCTCTTTATGCCATGTTGCTGTAGATGAGAGATAGAGATGATAACACCCAAAATGGCAACATACCTGTTTACCTTTGAAACAACATTGTTCTAAAATAAACCCTACATATATGTTTTCAAACACCGATTATTCAGTGTTGTTTCACTCTAATCCACCCCAAGGGATTTATTAATAAGAACCTGGTTACCCCCCCCTTTCTGGAGAGGGTGGTAGCAGACCCCTTGTAGCAGGAAAAGAATCTGATGGGAGAATGCAAGCACTGCCAGCTCTCTGTGGGGAGTTACTGCTGGTGCCAAGGGCTTGGTTTAGTGTTGAATTGGGCCCAACCCAGCCTGGTTCCCCAACCTTCAGATACACATCCTGCTTTTGGAAGCAGAGTTTGACAGGTCAGCTGCTCACTGGCCTGGGAATATGTGACTGCTGATCCATCCCTGGATAAGCATAAAAGCCCAGGGCCAACTTTGACAGAGCAGATTCTTCCACAGACTTTGTTGAAGTGTGTGCAGCTTCTGCTGGGAAGCAGGGACAGCTCTTGATGGTCACTGCCCAGGGGGGAAAAGAAAGAGAGAGCTCTGCCTTGATTTATTTCTATCAGACCCCGCCGGGCCCTCCCCGCTTCCTGCCGGGATCGGACACCGCCGGCGGCCCCGGCCCTGCCGGGCTCCATCAGCCTGAGGAATTGCTCCGGAGGAGGGGCCGGGGCTTCCTCTTGGCCTTCGTCTCCCTGGCGCTGGGGCTCGGCTTCTACCTGCGCCAGAAGGTGAGGGGGGTCCCAGGGGGTCGTGTGTCCCCCCAGAGCGTCTGTGCCCCCCCGGGGACTCCCCACCCCGGTGTCCCCCCCTTTTCTCTCCCCACAGAGCTCCTGAGCCGCCGGCGGCCGCAGCCCCTCCCCGGGGCCTCGGGCCCAGCCTGGACCCCCCCATCCCCGTGAGGATTTTGGGGGGTCGTGTGTCCCCCCTGTCCCTGCTGTCACTCTGCCTCCAGCCGGCTGCTCCCAGTGATCCCAGGAAAGCTTCCAGTTCTCCCCAGTCCCGGTTATTAATATTTATATATATTAATATATGTTTTTATATATTTTTATATAATATATTGATATATGGTATATATCAATAATATATACTAATATATTAATTATATATTTATATATAATGTATTGATATATAATATATATCAATAATATATAAATATATAAAATATATATAAAATAAATATTCAAATATATAAAGAATATATACATTTATATATATGTTTTTATATATCAATATATAAATATATTGATATATAATATATATCAATAACATATGTAAGTATATAAAATGTATATAAAATGTATATAAAATGTATATAAAATAAATAAACATTTAAATACATAAATGATGTATAGAAATTAATACATAAATATGTCTTTATGTATTTATATATATTGATATATAATTTATATCAATAATATATATACAAATGTATAATACGTGTATATAAATAAATAAATAAATAAATTACATAAAAGTATATTGAGATAAATAAATTATTGATATAATATTTCAGATCCACACTTGTAAGGAACAGAAACCCAGAGCCGGGTGGTTTCCAACCAGAATTTATTATCTGAGAAAAGCAAATTCAGCACTGGGTGATCAGGGAGGGGTTTGAACAACCCCCAAAGGAGACACTTGTTCTATTTTATTCTCTATATAAATATATATATTCATTACACATTGTCAAGTCAGACATTGTGTAGATAACAAGCAAACATCTGCTCAAAGTTATCAATTTTTCAGAAAGGTGTCATTATCTATAACTAAACCAAGTCCCTTCACGATGAACCTTAGACAAGGTAAAAGGGAGGTAACTTGGTTTATGTCTTTACAGGGGCCCAATTAAGTTTTACGATTTCTTTTTCTTTTCTCTCTCCGAGTTGTGTTGACTTTAGGTTGTTTTCTTTTTAATTAGCTCGAATCATTCTCCCTTTTACCTTGTCTAAAATTTATCTGAAAGACACCCCAGTCCCCTCCCAGTCCCTCCCAGTGGCTCCTGGCACTGGCTGCATTAACCAGTCCCGTTGGCTGGCGGGACTGGTTTCGCCTTCGGGGTGTTCTCTGCACAGGAGCAGTTCCCAGGGCTGATGGTCTCTGGGTGGTGTGGAGGTTGCTGGTCTGTGGTGCTGCAGATCCAGGAGATGGCAGCTGGGCGCTGGGGCTGGGGCTGACGGTCTCCAGTGCTGGAGAACTGGGAGACAGCCCTGATAGCGCCAGGCTGCCTGTGTTGGGGCTGATGGTCTCAGGTTCCCTGGAGCTGTCAGAAGGCTCCAGTCCTGACTGTCTGGCCACGCTGACACCAGCAAGCCCTGAGTCATCTCAGGAGGCTGTGAGGGGAAGCAGGAGGGACAAGATCGTTCCAGACCTGGGACAAGATAGGCCAGAGCAGTGCGGCTCTGCCAAACCCGCCCTGGGCACCCACTGCCAGGCCCAGGGGCACCAGGCCCAGGGGCACCAGGTTTGTTTGCCTCTTACCTGTGCCCAGACCAGCACAGCCATCACATTCCCAGCTGGTTATGCTGTCCCTCAGGCCAGAGCAGTGTCTGTGGGTGCCCTCGGCAGCACAGGAGGAGCACCAGAGCAATTCCCAGGGCCTGGGGAAGCAAACGGGTTCAGGGAGGTGAGGACAAAGTGTCCAAAGCGTGGGATTATCTGGCTGAGCTCTTCTCCTGGGTCCTTCTGCTTCACAGCCAGAGTGAGGCCCTGGTGCTGCTGAGCCCCTGCTGTGCCCCCCGGGGTGACAGAACCACTCCTACTTGGATGCAGTCCCTGTGGAACCAGGCGGTTCTGCAGGCTGGCCCAAATCTCCCTGCTCTTGTCAGGCTCTCACCTTCTGTGCTGCCTGGGAGACTATATCTGGGATCTCCCTTGGGAGAAAGCCAAGGAGTCCTACTCGATCGTTCTCTTGCTGACGAAGGAGGCTGGCAAAAACCTGCAGGAAAGATGATGCACTGCTGAGGAGAGAGGGTGGTGGGAACTGCCCATTGGAAAGCTGGAGAGAGCCCACGGAGCAACTCACCAGGCAGAACACGTGGGCACAGAAACCATTTATCTGAAGGTTTTCTCCACAGATGTCCGGGTCAGCCTCTGATCGCTGGCACAGCAGGCATGCTGGAGGGAGAGAGACACCAAAGCAAGAGGTGGCTCTTTCAGTGGGACAATGGAAAATGGCAAGCTCGTGCCCTTGTGTCCTGCCCCAGCCTTCCCCCGCTATTGTGCCTTCGCCATGGTAGCTAAACTCCAGCAAACCCCACCAGCTTCAGCAGAAATTATTTGTGTTGGCTTAGCACAGATCAGGACTCCAGCATCTCACTAGGAGAACACGTTTTGCCTTTGCCCCAGCAGAAGGAACTCCACCACCACCAGCAGTTTGCAACGACAACAGGACCCGCACACTGAGGGGTTTCAATGAGCTGGAGGCAAGGCACGCAGCCTCTTCAAGTGTCACATCAAACAGCAAGGAAAAGGGCAGGAAAAGGCTACCTTGGAACTGGAGTTCTCACTCGTGCCTGGGGGCCGGACAGTCTTGGGCAGCTTTGTCTCCTGAGGGCTGTCCGGCTTCTTCCTGAGCCTGAGACCAACCTCCCTGAAGTCAAAGATGGTCAGCTGGAAGGCAAAAAAACCAGCAAGAGCCTCAGAAATGCCCTTGTTTAGAAAGGCTTTTCTTGTTCAAGTGGCTCTGATGAGTCATTTGTGATCACAGCCACCAGGACAGTCCTGGAAGTCCTGGACCTGCTGAAGTATTAAACATCAGAAAATTAATGGTATAGAGCAGAACACACTTGCTCTAACCAGGCAGCCTGGGTAAACTCAAATTTAGACAGAAGGAGCACAGAAACATGACAGTATTTGAAGACAGTCTACCTGCATCTGCAAAAAAAAAAAAGCTTTCTAAAAGTCCAGATACTTTACAAAATGTATCCCCTCCACATAAAAAATCAGATTTCTTTTCTTACCATCTGCACAGTAGCAAAAAGGCAAATTTCAAGATAAAAAAATAACAAGGAAATGAACATACTACCACAAGTTACAGCCACTCCTACCTGAGAAAATAACTCATGAACGTTTCCTCTGAAGCCACTCAGACAATAAGGAATTGTTCATGGCATTCTACCTGGAAAAAAAAAAAAGGATGGAAATTTTCAACATTTTGCTTTAGAAAAGCAGAACAAGTCACATGCCTGAAATGTATTGATCTTTAGGTAATTATTAAGTCAAGAAAACTTATGAGAGCAGTAACTGTATCTTTACAATTCTAAAAATAAAAGGACATTCTTGGCTGAAATAAAACACTGGAGATGACAGTGACTGACACACAACACACACGACCTGTGCTTCTCATGACTAACTGCAATCTGCTCTTCTGTCTTCCATTACTTTAATTTTGAAAGACTTGGAGATCAAATGCAAACTTAACCTTTTTTATTGAGTAACTTATCACCCAATACCCCTCACCCCTTGTGCTTTTTTTTCACATTAAAGTCTTTAGAACCAGGCTATGCAAAATTAAATAAAACCTTTAGGGACAGCAAAGTTATTTCAAAATGGCTTCTGTCATCAGCTTCTCTGAATTGTAAGTCCTACCTTGCTTGATCTTCCCCAAAAATGCATCTTTTTGCCCTTTAGAAAACAGTTTTAAAGCTTTCAGCTTCTTTAACCTTTTGTCAGATCCCAAACCAGGGTCTTTAACAAAAGGAACACTATATTTGCACTACCTCCAGCCAACTTTTCTTGCCTTTTGTGAAGGCAAAAATGGTATTTTATTTTACAGCAGTTATATTTATCATCCCCACTACTTCATACTTAAGAAGAAGACTGGAATCATTGGGTAAAAACACAATTTTAAAAAACATTCCTTGCTAAATTAAAAGGTATCCAAATATAAATTACAATTCCTACACCTTGAATATAAAAAAGCAGAACTGTTAAACAAAACACACTACGAATTAAGAGGAATTAATTTTTTGAGACAATTACTTGCTATTTTATTTTCAGTTGTTTAAAGAAACCACTCAAAGCTATCAAAAAAAAAAAATCCCATAACATCTTTAAGAAAAGAGAAATCCAGCAGACACCCACCTACAGCCAGAACTTCCTTTAGGGCACAGTGTGTATGCCAGAACCTGTTCTATACTGCAGAACTGTGGCTGGGTTAGAAAACCACCATAATCCAAATCTAAAATAAAGACAGAACATTTTGCATAAAGGTGGAGAAGTCCAGCAGTTGCTAAAACCTGTATTTCTATTTCCAAAAAAGGGCAAACTTATATTGTTGTAATGACAGATTCACATTTGCAGAGGAAGTATTGAATAATCCAGATTTACCTCCAACTGCAATGTTTAAAACCTGCACGGAGTTTTATAACCTTGCTCAAGTGTACACCATAGAAATCCAACAAATATGGCTAAACACAGCCTCCAACTAAAACTAAAGCTCTTAATATTTACCTCTTCCTCTATCACAGTGACTTTTTGTGATATATAAATAACCGTGATTCGTGAAACAAATGGGTGGTTACATCAAAATAAAACAAACGGATTGTAAAACTTAATTACACCCCCATAAAGAAATAAAACAGACCCTCACAAGGTCAAGAGGCCTAAAACCTCCTTACTATCCTAAGAATAAAATATAGTAGAACTTTAAATCTTTAGGCGCCTGTTTCTCCAAGAATGCAGGAATTATGACTGGTTGTAGAGATAACCCTTTAGCTTTAGCTGTAAGAAAACCCATCTATTAAATACTTAGCAAAAACCTGTAGAATGTATATGCATATGATATAATTAATATGCATGAAGTAGCTAAGATAAATACTAAATGTACCCTGTAGTAGGGGGGTGCAGATTTGGGAAACTGGTCCCATTTCTGTCACCCAGCCGGCTGCTGCTTTTACCAGATAATAAACTATTATTCGAAACTTATAGAAACTCGAGACTTTTCATACATTCAGAATTCCAATTTTGCCCTTACAGTGGTAATTGCTGAATGCCAGCTAACACATAACAAACGTCAGGCATTCCACTTAAACTTGCATTTTTAGAAAGTCTTGCAAAAGGTCTTCTACAACTTCTAAAATTATTAGGCACCGAAAAGAAGATAAAAAATGCTCCAGAAAGAGAAATGACTGTGAGGTCTCTGAAAAACGCATGAACTGAACACTAAAAACAAACCTGACACCCCAGAAACGTTTTTAAAAGCTTTCCACGTAACACACAAACTCATCCGTTTCCTTATCCTGTAACTCATATTTAAGTAACTGCCTTTGCTTCCCAGAGTGCCCCCCCTGTGCCCGGGGCCGCACCGGGGACCCAAAACCCGCCGCTGCCCCCTCGGTGCTGCATCGGGGCCGGGCCGGGCGGCCCCCGCGGGTGCTGCAGGGCCGGGACGGCAGCGCCGCAGCCGCCGAGGGGCACCGGGGCTCCCCCGGTCCCGCCGCTCCCCCTCACCCCCCACGGGCAGGACACGGCCGGGGGGCCCCGACAGTTCCCGCGGGTCCCCTCAGCGAGCGGCGAGGGGTGGCAGGGGGGGCCGGCAGAGGCAGCGCCCCCTTCCCCTCCCGGCTCCGAGGACATTTTGTTTTCCCTCCCCAGGACAAAGGACAAGGAGGAGCGCGGAGACCCCGGCACTCACCTGGCGAAGAGCAGCCCGCTGGCCGGCACCGGGGGCCCCGAGGACGGGGCGCTGCTCCGATGCTCGCCCTTCCCGCGGCCAAGGGCGGCCCCGCGCCCGCCCGGCGAGGGAGCGGCGCGGGCAGCGCTCGCAGTCCCGGCGCCATTGCTGCCCGCCCGTCCCAGCCCCTCTCGGCAGCCCCGCTCGCCCCCAGGGTGCCGGGCCCGACTCGGCCCTCCAGCGCTGCACCCGGGGATCCGGCCGGGTGTCCCCCGAGCGAGCGGCGGGCAGCGCGCCCGGGAGCCGTGCGGGAGCCGCCGCTGCTCCCCGGCCATCCTGTGCCGTGCGGGTGAGGGAGCCGCCGCCATCTCGGCTCCTTCCTCCCCGCCCCCCGCACAACATGGCCGCCCGCTCGCTCCTCCCGTTGGCCTCGGAAACGGGATGAATTCACTCCACTCGAACGAGATGAATCGCAGCTACTCCAGAAGGAAAAGAAAAACAGCCCAGGCCTTCAAAGCCACAAGTATAGAACGGAGATTTTTATACAAACATGTATTTTTTTAATTTTTATAGACAGTCTGACAAAGCCCTGAATCCCCCCGTTGTAATGCACCATATATATAAAAGACCCCTTATATTACTAACTCAAAACAAACTTCTTCATATTTATCAATACTCGTTTGATATGGGGTCCAATCAATTTTTGCTGTAATGATTCACCACACGCTTGGATTAGAATGTCACCTGAACAGAAATAGCTCCTGAGTCAGGCTCATGTTTCCTATGAGCTTTTATATTTTCTGCCTGCAGTCAATTCACTACAAACTGGCTCCTGACAGAGCTTTACCCAGCTGGGAGAGCTCATCAGCCCAGGGACTAGAGCAGCTCTGGACACGCTGGCCTCCTAAACTCCAGAATCAGCAGCTTTAAGCGTTGCAGGAAAGAGATTTACATGCTGAAACAAATACTCTCTCTCTCTGACCAAGCCATTAACAGTGAGAATCTTGTCTCAGCTTAAAACCATTCACAGCTCACTTTTTTTTTAATATTTAGTCACAGATTAGTGTTAGACGGTGAGCTGGGAGAAAATGTGAGCAGTCCAAGAAAACACTGTTTAATAATAGTAATGCCTCTAAAAAGAAGCTATCACCTCTCTCTACAAATGTGTCTTGGATTAAGGTCTAGAAACATTGAATTTAATGACAAAAGCTGAGATTTTGATCTCTCCTTGTTACTCCAAACACATGGGTCTTAAGTTACACACCTGTGCCTTTAATTCAGCACTGAGTAATTACATTTAGGTGGGTGGAATCACTCCAGGTTTTTCTTGGTGTGCCTAAACTGAATGTTGTCCTAAGGATTTGGAAGCATATGAAGTGAATTTAGGAATGAACATGTATGTCAGTAGTTGCAAAATGCAACTGAAATGAACTGTCCCAGTCTGTAGAAGGAAAGCAGAGGTCTAAATTTCAAGAGTAAAAGCAAGCACGTAGCTTTGCACATGTAGGTATAATTGCATCAGCATTCCCTGTGTTTTCCCCAACACTACTTCTTCTTTCCTATTTTTAATAATAATGGCAAAAGGAATAATATAAATTTAGGTTGTCTTGGGTACTTCACCTTTTACTCATCTCCTTCAGGAAAACTTTAAAGCCTTTCCATAAAACAGAATATTGGCTATGAAGAGACCAAATGTTAGACTCAAGTGGAAGGAAATAGGTCAAAATAAAATGCATTTAACTGAGAAACTGTCTTCTACAGCACGATTTCATCAGCTCTGCCTCCTCAAGAAGTCAGGAAAAAACAGTACAGCTGCATGAAAAGTAAATGAGCAGCTTTTTCTGACTCCAGAACCAGAAAATAATGACATGAAACCCAAATCCAATGCAGCACTATCACTTGTCTTTCCAAATGCCAGCATTAATTCTCTCTCTCGCAGCTCCCAGAGACTTGTTAAACAAAGGAGCCCCATAATGTACTTTGCAAGTGAAAGGTCCCGGAGTGGAAGAAGTCAACTCCAACACAGAAGGCCCTTAACAGAAACGCTGCAGCTCGCTCCAGGAGTTTTGCACCGAAGGGGATCTGCCTGACCTGGCTCCTGCCACAATCCCTGTTTTCTCCTTGCATCAAACAAACAGTTCTGCAGCACTAGCAATAGGCTGGGCTTTTAGATCAAAACTAGTGTCTCAAAACCTGGAAGTCAAGTCAACCCGTGCAAGTCACAAAGGGCTGGTTTGGTGTGTGCACAGAGCAGTCAGGCATCTTTTTATACCAGAAACAAATTCTCTGTTTAACACATGCCTGATGAGCTGCATTTTCCCTGCACACCTGGGCCATGCCCCGGATGCTGAGTGCTCAGCCAGGATGTCATCCTGATTATCCTCCCTATGCCCCTGGGGGCATTTTTGGAGCCAATTTACACCTCTAATATTTTTTGTCTCCTGGAGAGAGAACTGATTTTGCTTGCACATTGTAATCCTTCAGAAGAACTTTTCCCTTTTCCCCCTAGTTTTCCTCACTTGTTGTTAATACTTTTTCCCCCTTAAGTTTAAAAATTAAAACCTTTGCTCTGAAAGAGAGCAAAGGAAGAATGAAGAAGCTTCAAACCAAGGAGAAAAACCTTAAAATCCGAATTTCTGTGAACAGCAGAACAAGTCTCCTCCCGCTGCATTAATGCCGCCTCACGAAACGGCGATGGCCTCTGCAGGCAGCTGCCTAAAAACACCCACGGCTCCTCGGGAACACAGACATGCAATTGTTATAATTTTTTTCCCCCCCTAAAGATTTAATTTTTCTCTCTTTACATTCAACCCCTCGGTGACTCCCGAGAGCCCTCTGCAAAGCCATAAACTGACTTTTGGAGGAGCTTTTGGACACCCCCGGCAATGGAGCGGCGCTACGCAAATTGCGTAAGGGGGCCAGCAATCCTGCGGCGCTACGCAAACAGCGTAAGGAGGGCGCCGGTAATGGCAATGGGGGAGTTACATCAGTTGCGTAAAGATACGCAAAAGGCGCAAGGGCCCTGCCCTCAGCGCTACGCAAATGACGGGAGGGCCACGGTGGCTTCCTAAGGGCTCGCGGACCTTTCCCACTTCATCCCAGTCCTCTCCAAAGGGCTCCCACTTTGTCCCAGTCCCTCCCTAAGGGCTCCCAGTCCATCCCAGTCCCCTCCTAACGCCGCTGCCCTCAGCCCTACGCAAACGGCGTAAAGGGGGCACCAGTAACGGCAAGAGAGGGGCGCTACGTAAACTGCGTTAGGCTACGCAAATGGCGTAAGCGCCCTGCCCTCAGCGCTACGCAAATGACGGGAGAGCCCCGGTTCCTTCCTCGGGGCTCCCAGTTTATCCCAGTACCTCCCAGTCCTTTCCTAAGGGCTCCCAGTTCCTCCCAGCTATCGCCGCGTTCTCGCGCTTCCAGAATTTTCTCCCTCCGCTTCCCAAATATAAAAGGGACTTTCTGTGCTGAACACCGAGCCGGGAGCACTGACAGGCTCGGCGCAGGGGCCCTGTGGTATTTGATTTCTCTACAGTTCATGTTTTTATAATGAAGGGGGAAGGGTTAATAATCTGTCACAAAGGACTGGAGCTCTCAGAGCCAATTAGTCCTCCAGTGAACCATTTAGCTGCTGAAATAAATCCAGTCTCAGGCACGCAATGAGCAGGATTCGAGACAGAAAAGCCTGTGTGGGTACGCAGGGCATTGAGCTCGTGCAGATTTGTCCACAGGTGCAACTTGGTACATTTTAGTACTGAGTGCTTTTGATACACGAACTGGCCACCGAAACTCTCTTGGGTCATAACGTGCAAAGGTGGGACAGCTTTATCCAGAACACGTAGACCACACAATTTCTCAAAGCTGGATCAGAATCTGTGCCAGCCTGTGGTGGAACCATGAAAGCCACCCCCAGGAGTTGCATTTCCCATTCGGATATCAGGTGGGGACAAGTCCCTGCCACAGGAATGGAAAATCCATGGTGGGGTGGGAAGGGCCACGATGCTGCCCTGGCAGAGAAGGGGGGATGTGCCACTGCAACATCTCCCAGCAATGCTGCTGTGGGTGGAAAAACACCATTAAGGTGGGACAAAGTCTAGGAAAGCAATGGCAGAGTCTGTCTCCCTCTAAATGTGAGGTCTCCATCATCCAGACCCAAAGCCATGCTTTGGACCTCCCTGCACCAGTCTTGGTTTTCCAGCTCCTTAACCGCATCAGAACAAGGCCAAAAAAATTACTTCTTTTTATATTCTTGTAGTGGGTTGACCCTGGCCAGATACCAGGTACCCACTAAAGCCACTCTCTCACTCTCCCTCTGCAACTGGACAGAGGACAGAGAAAAAAAACAGCTAAGAATTCCTGAGTAGAAATAAGAGCTGGGAGAGGTCAGTGACTGATCACCTTCACGAGCAAAACAAGACTCCAAGTGGGGATAGTACTTATATTTATTACTAACAGGATAAGAGCCAAAGAGTGAGAAATAAAACAGTCTTAAAAACACCTTCCCCCCCCTTTCCTTCCATGTTCTCCCTCCTCCCCCCCAGCAGGGAGATGGGAGGGGATGGGAATGGGGGTCACGGTCAGTTGTTGTTTCTGCCGCTGCTCAGGGAGAGGAGTTGGAGTCCTTCCCCTGCTCCCGTGGGGTCCCTCCCACGGGAGACAGTCCTTGATGGACCTCTCCGGCGTGAGTCCATCCCTCGGGCAGCAGCTCTTCCCAACCTGCTGTCCCGTGGGTCACTCCTCCATGGGGTCAGTCCCTCACGGATGAGCTGTACCGGTGTGGGTCCCCCACAGGGGCCATGAGTCCTACCTGGGAAAAACCTGCTCCAGCCTGGGCTTCCCTCTCCACGGGCTGCAGGTTCCTTGCAGGACCCTGCTCCATCCTGGGCCTGCCACGGGGTCACAGCCCCCTTCCTGCATCCACCTGCTCCAGCGTGGGAGCCTCCACGGGCTGCAGGGGGGTCTCTGCACCCCGATGCTCCCCCAGGGGCTGCAGGGGCACAGCTGCCCCACCCTGCTCTGCCCCACGGGCTGCAGGGCCTCAGCTCCAGTGCCTCCTCACACCACTTGTGCTCCACTCCCTTCCCCAGCCTCGCTGCTCTTCTCTGCTCCTGCTCCAGCCCCTCCAGGGCCTTCCTCAACTCAGGGGCCCAGAGCTGGACACAGCACTCCAGGGGTGGCCTCACCAGCGCTCACTCCAGCCCAACAATCCCTTCCCTGCTCCTGCTGCCACACTCTTCCTCAGCCAGGCCACCATCCATTGGCCCTCTTGGCCACCTGGCCACACTCTGCCTCCTCTTCAGCTTCCTGTCCATCCCCACTCCCAGCTCCCTTTCTGCCTGCCTGCTCTCCAGACACTCTGGCCCCAGCCCGGGGGGCTGACGGGGCTTCCTGTGGCCAAAGGGCAGGACCCGGCCCTTGGCCTGCTTGACCCTCATCCCCTTGCAATCAGCCCATGGATCCAGCTGGGCCAGGTCCCTCTGCAGAGCCCTCCTGCCTTCCAGCACATCAACACACCCCCAGCTTGGGGTCAGCTGCACATTTGCTGATGAAATGCCTGGTTCTGCAGCAGCTGCAGATGCTCACCCCAGCCTTTAGCCAAGCAACTGGAGTTCTTGGTACAGTCAGTGCTGCTCCCACATTAGTCGTGCAGAGTTCCTGGTGTGACCAAAGGGACACTTCACTACCCCACCCATGACACAAAGGCCGAGGAATGGGAATTCCTAAGAGAGCAGAGCAGCCTGCGGAGCAATGGGGGTGATGTCTGATCACAGCTGCTTTCCTGGAGATGGCTGAGCCCCAGCTCCCAACCAAGCACCACACAGACACCTGCTCACTCCCCTCCCGGGGAGGTGGGAGAGAACTGGAAGAGTAACAGTGAGAAAACTCGTGCGTTGAGACACAGTTTATTAGGTAGTACACAGATGAGGTAGAGATGGGTGTTGGGGCTTGAAGAGTAGCTGGGGAGGTCTCTGCTGAAGGCTGGGAAACCACGAGCAGGAGAAGCCATGACACAAATGGTGTCACTCTAGTTTTGCTGACCGCTGCACCTTCTTCTTGGGTTTGCTGCTCTGGGTTTCACCTTTTTGCAGTGATGTAGAGCATTTCAGATCAGCCTTTGGCAAACAGCCTTTCCCCATCACAAACACCCGTGGGCTCTTCTGAGATGGCTTCAGGTTAAGAAGTCTAGGAAGAAAGGGACTGGTATTAGCCAGATGAACATTTCCAGCCAGCCAGCCGCTCGCCTGTCTCCTCACAGAGCACACAGTGTCACATCCTCTCTCCAGGCAAGCAGCGAGCAGCAAATGAAACAGAACTGCACTGCCTGCCATGGAGGCAGCAGAGGTGGAAGGGCAGAATCACAACCAGTTATGGGCCTGGGGACCAACTGCAGCACACGGGGTTCCAGGTAGAGAAGGAGGCTGTGCTTGCCCCATAAGGAAGCATAGCTAGGGACTGGCTGGCCCCTTGACAGCCGTTCTGGATCTCCCATTCCAGATTTTGCAGCCCTGCAGGAGCTTAGTGTTTCATACAGTGTCTTTTCCCATTGTCTCCACACAGATCCACAGACATCTCCACAGACATCTGGCCTTGGCCAGATGATCATCTCTCTGTGCTCCTGTATGCTGTGTGTTCCTGCTGCCTCTCTGGGGCTGGCTGTCCCCAGGGCTGCACGCTCACCCACCCCAGTCAGAGGGACTGAAGGGAGGGTGTCAGAGGATGGAGCAGGCTCTGCTTGGTGCTGCCCATCAACAGGACAAGAGGCAATGGGCAGAACCTGATGCAAAACACGTTCCACCTGAACATGGGGAAGAACTTCTTTCCTGTGCAGGTGACAGGTTGTCCAGAGAGGGTGTGGAGTCTCCCTCACTGCAGGTATTCCAGAACCCTCTGGACACAATCCTGTGCCACGTGCTCTGGGATGACCCTGCTTGAGCAGGGAGGGTGCACCCAATGGCCCGTCCTGTGATACCCACCAGGAGCATGGATTGGAAAGCACATGGACATTTCCTACCTGCACAGCATTTCGGCCTTAAATTCCCCCACACGCGTCGGGAAGAATTTCACACAGAAAATCTGATTCCGGCCAGCAGGGATGGTACCACAGTGGGGCTCGATGGAGAACAGTGGTGGGTCCTTGACGGGAATTGGAGAGAATTCCGGGGAGGAGCTAAGGCCCTTCGAAGAGCGGCACAGCTGCTTTGAAAGGCGCAGACTTGGCTGGGGCTGAGTTGGCTGGGGCTGAGTTGGCTGGGGCTGAGTTGACTCGAGCAGCAATGCCTGCTGCACCAGCCTTGCATGATTCCTTCCCCAGAGATCCTCAGCAGTAGAGGACAAGAAATCACCTGCAGGAGGAAAGAAGACATCTTTCAAAGACAAAATCCTTTGTTCCCAACAACTCTGCCTCCTGCTGCAGGTGGATAGAAGAGAGCTGGGAGGCACTTGGAGCGCCTCTGGCCAAGTACTTTCAGCAGGAGACAGAGCAGCTGGGAGCAGGGTCTCCGCCTGCAGCACACACTCCCGTGCCGGGGCAGGAGGCTTGGTTTTAGACAGTGACTTTGCATTTGCCCTGGAGTGGGGAACTGCATCCAGACAGCGGCTGCAGGGCAGCTCACTTGTTCCACCCTTATTTTTCCCAGTCTCAGAGACTTCCCAAAGAGGTGCCCTGATGTCCCCCTTCCCAGTCCTGACCCAGCACATGGCTGTCCCTGGAGCCCAGCTCAGCTCCTGTGCAGAGCACAAGTGGCAGAGCAAGAACAGGAGGGGCTAAAAGGCAGACAGGGGGGAAGGAGAAAACTCTCCAGCTGCAGCTGGGAAGTGGAGAGGGATGAAAAAGCAATTAATGTTTTGGGGTGAAGTGGCAGGGTCTTCTCCCCAGGCCCTCAGCTATCAATTGAAATGGCCCAGGCACCACCCAGAGCCAAACACTTACGTGTCTGAGTGGACGAGAACGGCCTCCCAGAACTCTTTGATGGTATTTCCTCCTCCAGATTCTCCTCCCAGCAGTATTTCAGGGCTACATTCCCTGTATTGGACATCCGGAAACTGAAAAACAAGGAGGAGGAATAAAAAGCAAGTACTAAAGTAACACTGTCTGGTGGGCTCCTGGTACCACCTTCCCCAGGCAACTCTGCCACGTTCAGAATTGCTGCCCTGGGTGGCCCAAACAAAGTATTTCAAAGTCTGGAAGTTTAGGAGGAAAGGGCCAACACGGTGCCCAGCACTCACGTGCTTATCTCTGTCTGGAAGAGCTCAGTCTGCTTCAGCTGAACCTCGACCGTGTCCAGTTTGAACTCGGCGTAGTCAACCTGAGCACTGAGGACAAGCTCGACCTCGTGGCTGCTCCTCTCCACGATGGTGTGAGGTGGTTCCGGGACTGCCTTGACCACCTGCAGGCAGAGGAGGGAAGAATCACTGAGCAGAGCCCAGAAAGCCAGGCTGAGCAGGGAAACCTTTTGGCCTCCAAACTTGGCCGCATAGAAAGGACATTCAGGTTTATTTGCCTGGAAAGATGACAAAATTGGACTGGTGTACTACAGCATTGGTTTCTCTGATCAAAGCAGTCACCACCACGGCTATTAATACACCCCTGGGGACTATGGCCAGCTGTCAGTCCCTGTGCTTCAACCCTGGAGAGCCTCTGACCTTTTCCCTGGTCCCCTATAAATCCAGCAGGTCTCGACATTAGGATTAAGTTCCCCTGCTGGAGCCCTGTGGATGGAGAAGCCCAAGACTGACTAGTCCTAGAAAGAACTTTTTCCTTCTTGACTTAGGAGAAAGTGCTCTCCAGATGGCACATGTGGGGTGGGAGCTGGCTGTGGGCATTTTGGGATGTGAATGATCTCACTGGGAAAGTCTCCAAGTGCTGATGCCCTGCTGGGGAAGTTGGGTTTACAGGACTCACAATGATTCAGAAACTCAGAAAGAACCTTCACCAAGATAAGTGTGCTTGGCAATAATGATAGAAAAAGCAAGACTTTCTGGAGATGATGCTTCTCCAGACTCCTGCGTACTATCACACAGGGCCTGGGCTGCTCCATAATGAGATATCCCCCACAATACAGAGGCCACAACCAAAATCTCTGGTGTCGGTGTAGGCAGAGCTCGGAGCTCACCGGTGTACGCACAAGAGCACTTGTGCTGCTCTCCCCTTCAGAACAAGAGACAGAATGCAGTGGAATTAACTCCTTGTGGGTGACAAGGCACCAAATCAGATGAAGAGACTTTAACACTGTCAAATGGGATAAAATCAAACGTGACCTCCCACTCAACACGGGCTGCAACACTCGGCTCGTGGCACAGACCGGCAGTTTGCGTGTGGATAAAGGTCTCTTGCCCAAAGGCTTCCCCTGTGGTGTGAGCCCACCCGCTCACTGCGCATCCGCCTCTCCCCAAAAGGCACTGCTGGTGAACCTCCCGGCTGGAGCCAATGCCCAGGGGAGGCAGGAGCTGCTCTGCCAGCAGCGCTGGTGCTCTGCTGCTGTCGGCAGGTCCTTTTGCAGCAGCTCGGTGAGCTTTTGCTGCTGTGCTTCTTACCCTCCGCTTCAAAGGCCAGCGGGCTCCCGGGAGTCTCTCGGTGGTATCCTCCCACTTCTCAGTGCGCATTCTGTCGTCCCAGTCGTAAACCTCCTCTGGTGGCAGCTGGTATTTGATCTTGGCCACCTTACAGTTCACAGAGGGCCTTTTGATGGTGACCGGGACCTTGGATTTCAAGGTCACTCTGATATTCTTGGCACAGCCAGGCTGGAGGTGTCCCACCTAGGGAGAACCAGAGTCAAGACCAAACTGGAATCACTGGCAAGGGCAGCACTGACAGCAAAAGGGACTGATATGGCGAGCAGCTGTGCTGGGAATCAGCACCTCAGTGAGGATTTATGTGAGATTTGACAGAGCAAAATATGAACAGAAGGTGCCACCTCCCAGAACGCGGAGCCTTTTCTGCTGGGCTGACAGCCCTGCCCCAGCAAAGACAGGGATTGTATCTCCTGCATGGCACTGGAACGGGCTCTCACTGGAATGTGGTGACTCCCTGCCAGCTCCCAGGAACACCAGGAAAGGGCCTGAGCAACTGAGAAAGGCAGGGCTGTCCCAGCTCACCTTGGGGGAGAACTGGAACAGGGCATCTGCCAGCAGCCACTCAAACCACATCACCTCCTCCTTGCTGCGGTTGGTGACTGTGAAGGTCTTGTCGCAGAGCTCCCCGACTGCACACTCCCCAAACTTTATGTGATTCGCTCTGACAGCTGTGAAGAAGGAGAGCAAGAGATCTCAGCATGCAGTGAGGTCCATCCACCCCCCTCACTTTCAGAGACACGTGTATGTTCAGCTCTTCCTTGCTCCAAGCCTCCCTCCCTCCCTCTGGGAGGTCCCCAAGCCCGTGGCTGTGCCTGTGCCCAGCGACAAGCAGCACAGCACACACTGCTCTGTGTGCATGGCTGGCAAGCTCACAGGCCCCCAAGTCCAGTGGGTGACAGCCCAGCCCTGGCTAGAGAGAGGACACACATGATCAGACATTTTCCTCTTCCTCGCTCTACCTTGGCAGCCTCTCCTCTCTTACCCTCAATGATGTCGTCCTCCAGATTGCCCTCAGCATTGCTCTCCTGGCTGTCTTCTGCTAGTCCAGGGAGGTTATCAAGGGTGAAGTCATCATTGTGGCCTTCACCCACCAGCTCTATGTCGATCTCACTGTTGCCTGACACTGGCACACGGATCTTCCCTTCCAGACGTTGGGCCAGGGTGGGTTTGAAAAACACGTCAAACTCTGCTGATTGCCCGTGTTCCAGGAGCAGGTAAGGCTTCTCGGGACGCTTCTTGGCTGCACGGCAATGGGAATCAGAGTTAAGTGATAGAGCTGTCCAGAGGAAATACTTCCCTGGGGTATACGAGGAATAAGAGGTTGGAATCAGTTGCTTCTAAGCACAGGTTCTCTCACCAGTGGTTCCAGACCCTCTTCCTGTGTTCACAAGACTATGCCACCATCACACATATCACCACTTAAGCGGCTTAACCTCAGGTTAACGCCCAGCCCTCATTCCATCTGCTTCCAGCCAGCTCCTGCCATACAGAAGGCTGAGCCAAGGAGTGGTTTTGGCTTCTGCTGGCTGGCTTGTGTGCTCAAGGGCTGCCTCCCTTCAGGCTGGTACCTTCCCACACGCAGCACAGACCTCAGCCAGTCCACTGAGGTGGTGATAGTCCCCCACAGCTCAACCCACCGTGTCTCGAAGAACAAAAACTTCCTACAACTTGCTAGGAGGAAACCCTGCAAGGAGTCCACAAGAAAAGCTCGGGGGACAGAGAGACCAAGGAAAGAAACTATGTCCAACATGTGGCTGCTGCTTAGACAAGCCAAGAACAGGGCACACCTTTTCCCTCTGTGAATGATCACGCTGCACAGTTAATGAATTTACCTTTTCCAGTGGAGTCCTTTTCCATGTCTGCAATGTGGAAGGCACGGAGTGCGGACTGCCTGCCTTTCATAAAGAAAACTCCCTTGTCGTCCATGATATGAACTGTGAACTGAGAAAAGGGAACACGGAGCACAATGACATTGGTGTGAGTAGAGGCTGGCACGGGGGTTGAGCCCGTACGGCCGCTGGTCCAGCACGGGGAACCCAGACCACCTCCCCACCTCAAACACAGCGCCCAGCACAAAGGTTACGTGAAGTCACACAGGGAAAAAAGGTTGTTCAGAAGCATATGGATAGAACTGACATAGAGCCAAACAGGACAGTCAGTCACGAGCAGAATGTAACAGAACCACAACTAAGTTTAATTAAAATGGAGTCAACCACTATCAAATGCAATCTCATGGAACTGGGACGTCACACACGCCCACATGAGAACACAATGTGAGCTGGGAGATGGGGGAAAACACCCCACCACCTTTCTTGTCTTGTGTTCAACTGACGAGGAAAGACTGGACAGAAAATCAGTCTTTGGGACCTTTCCTCCACGGGACAAGCACTTGTTCCCAGCCCAGAGCATTCCCCGAGCAGGTCCTTACCTTTGTGGGTATGATGCCATTGTTACGAAGGACCAGGGGGAGTGTCTGTGAATCCCCCAGCAGGAGCCTCCTGAAGCGCAGCACAGGGGTTCCTCTCTTACTCCGAAGGCCCGGGCACTCGACTGTCACCTGAGGCACGTGCCCCTCTCCACTGACAGTGAAGGTCAGCTGTTGGGGTTTTGTCTTCACGGAGCTGCTGGAGAGGCACAGAAACCATTTCAGCCAGAGCCTTCCAGAATAACAGTTCTAAATAATTTCCCTCATTTGAATCATGCCGTACAGCAGATAAATAACGAGGCACCAGATGAGACGTGGCAAATCCTCTGGCTGCAGTGATAGGAGACATGCAACAAGCAAAAGCACACCATGAGAACAGTACGAAAGCAAGAAGGGAAAACCAAACCAACAGCACCGTCAGTAAAGATTATTTCCAAGGATCCTAAAGAAGGAATTGCTTGTTAGGGCAGAAAGCTGACTTCCCTGTTCCAATTCAGCCACTAAAGGCTTGGGGAAGGGCAGGTCAGAGCCCCAGTACACAGGTGCCAGGGAGAGGAACTGGGCTTCTCTTTGGTAAGAGCTCCAGTCACTCCCCTGATATAAAAATAGCTTAATGTATGCCTGGAAACCACACAGGATCACTTCCTTTTACAGAAATATGGAGGAAATCTTGACTTGCTGGCACAGAAACTGCTTCATCTGAGCCTTTGTCCTTGGAAAGCCCCAGCTCAGCTGTTGCACTTGTCAGTAACTTCCAGCTGGCTACCTGAGGCCCTCTCTTCAGAGTCCCTCACACAGCCTGAAGTATCCTCCTCATTTTCCTGCTCTGCTCTGCCTAATGCTTAATGCCCCCTACATCATCTCATGCCAGGTACTCTGCCTAAGGGCACTGAAAGCATTAGAGGCACCAAGAGGAGAGGCAGCTACCAGAACGGTCCCCCCAATACTTCACGGGGTCACTACCTTTTTGGGCTAACAAGGGAAGCTGTGAAAGTGCACTGGTAGTCCTCCTTTTGTTCTGGAGTGAAGGTCACTGTAGCAAAGGCGTGGGATAAGCCAGGAATGCTCATCTCGACAGGATCCAGCTTGAAGATGTTGCTGATGAGGCTGTGAGGCTTGGGGGGAACCCACAGTGCAGTGTTAGTGTCACATCTTTCAATGTGACCCAGTACATTCCTAGATGCATCCCTGGGAACAGCCCCAGACAGCCTGTCTTGCTTCATGCTTCCCTGGGCAGGCTCCCTCCATGCCAGGGGATGCTGACCTTGTGCCAATGCCCAGGCGAGCAAAAGCTTGCTTTGAGGGCTGGGCAGCCACCCCAGCACATGTGGGAGGTTGGGATGGCACAGAAACCCCTCAAATAACCCCGGACTGGCCTTTCAAGAGAAGGAAAAGCCAGGAAATGCTCTGCTTTGAGCTCTGCCCCATCGGTCCATAACAGCCCCTCTCTGAGTGTGCTTTTGAGAGATGTTCAGAAGGATTCCCACCAAAGACCCAGAAGCGTGAGCCAAAATTTGCTTGAGAGATGTGGAATTCAATGCAAGTGCCCCCCTGGCATTGCTGCTCTGCCCTGCAGTTTGACCTGCACTGAGCTGGACTGGTCCAGCTGGGCCAGAGACCGCAATGACTCTGGAGAACAAGGCAGGCTCTCACATGGCCTTTAGAGAGCAGCGCTCACCTTGGCCTCTTGTTCTTACCTCTCCAGGCAAGGCTTTGATGGAGAGGACCACGTCACATGGGACACTGCTGCCATTAGAGATCTTGAAGCGAGCCGTGGCCCGTTGCCCAACCTGAACTTTGGTGAAGATGAATTTGTTATCATCTCTGATGAACACACCGTTGCCTTGCACCGACTGTAACGTCTGGCGGAGATTGACGTTGCTGTGGATCGGGTACTGCTCAAAGATGGACGTGACGTCTTCAACAAGCGCTGCAGACAGACCAGAGGAAGGGCTGAGGCTGGAGAACCTCTTTGCTGAATTCACCTGGACCCAGCTGGCCTCTCAGAAGGCTTGATAAGCCCTTTCTGTCCAGGTGACTGCAAAACTCAGCCTTGGATGAGAGAGCTCAGTCAGTGAGGATGGAGCTCAGTCAACCTCAGTCTTAAAGGGCATTGCTTTCCTTTTATGCTTCCACACATCCCTCCCAGCCTCTCCCCACTGGTGGACTCAAAAAGGACTGCAGCCTCTGAGGATTTTAAGGTGGGACTTCAGGACCAGGTGCCTCTCTATCCAAGTAGCAAGTTTAGGTGCTGATCAGCAGCAGGACTGCCCATGGCAACCTGTGGACAGCACGTACCTGGGAGGCAGGACTCGGCAGTCAGGGTAAAGGGAATGCCGAGGGGATTGTCCTTGGGGTCTCTGTTGCTGATGTCAATGTACAGCTGCTCCTCACATTTCCCCTCTGCTCCTGGGCTGCAATCCACTGTGATCTTCTGCTGGCCCCCAGGACCGACGGAGCCGGAGCAAGGGGACACCGTGAACACGCCTGCAGTGAGCTGAGCCTGCAGAAAGAGCGCCAGGACAGGCTGATGCCCAACAGCCGTACCCTGAACACCCCCAGCAAGGAGGATGCCACGCCTCGGCCTCCAGCTGGGCCCGAGCACCCAGTGTCAGGGCAGGGAAGGATGACTCCACGGCCCAAAGGCAGCCCCAGGATGAGATGAACAAGCCAGGAGGAGCTGCACGTCTGTCCCGAGTGGCAGAGAGAAAGGAGTTGGGGTGAAAAGAATGAAGGTGGTAGCTGGGATCCTTCAACCTCCAGGGGTACAGGAGAGCAGAAAGGACTGAATGATGGGAGAGAGGGAGGGGATTGGGAAGAAGAAAAAGCAGAGCTGTCAGTGCTCTATGGATTGGGAGTTCAGATGGGGACAGTTTGCTCCTGTGGTGTTCCCAGATCTGTGCTGGCTAGCAGCCACCAAACACAGGACCTGCTTCCCTCTCTTGACCCCACAACTGCAGGTCAGAGCCAGAGCATGGGACTGTCAGTGGAACTGAGCAGATAATGGACTCTCCATCCCGCAGACCTTGTCCTACCCCCAGCCTGGGCACAGCTGCATCCTCCCCCATCCCCTGCAGCAGCACACGCTGGGCAGGAGCAGGAGCCACCCACCTGTGTGGAGCGTTTTCTTTCCCTGACCGAGGGGGCAGATTCCTCTTGCTGTGAACTGAGAGGAGAAAGCAGAGACATCTGTCATGCTGAGCTCCCCTGCCTTTGTCTGAGGCCAAAGCTGGCCTTCCTCCCCATGCAGGAAAGCCTTCCTGCTCCCGATGGCCCCCGGGGAGCTGCCTGCAGCACCCATTGCTGCAGCTCATGGACAGAGCAGCTCTGTCACCAGCTTTGTCCCACACATGGGGATACTGAGGTGTTGTTTTGCTCCCTCTTCCCAAGCCAGCAATCCAAATGGACAATAACCCAGGTCTGGCTGCCTGTCACACACCAGCTGTGTGGTGGTGCCTCCTCAGACAGAACGGCTGGGGCAGGTCTTCTCTTACCTTTGCAGTGGAGGTGCTCGGTGGATGAGGAATTTGAAGCTGAGGGTGCCTTTGTTCTCCACAATTAAGACCTGTCTCTTCTTGGTGCCCTTAACCATGGCACCAAAGTCGATGGGCGAGGCAGGCTCGATGCTGTCCTTGCTGTACACAGCTCTCGCCGACACCCTCACTGGGATGGTGGCAACGGTCTCGCCTCCTTGACCCGATTTGAGATCAATGACCTGCAACCAGAGGAGGGGCTGGTAAACACAGCAGAGAGGCCAGCCTCTACCCCTGTCCCCTGACCCCAGCCCAAGCCTCCAGCAGCTCACCCTCCCTATTTAAAGGCCTCTTCCAGAGCCAGATTTCCAGCTCTCTTATGAAGCCTCCCAAATGGTTTTGGAAGTCTCTGTTTGTGTGTGTAGGAGAGAGGATGCCCCAGCTAAAGCCTGCTTTGCACAAGACACCTCTCCTGCTTATGCTCCCAAGACACACTGTGCTAACACAGCCGGGCCCAGGCAGCTCACCTGGCAGAGCAGGATGGGTTTGCTCTCGAGAAACATTTCAGTCGTGGGGTGGAAGAGGACCTCAACTTTCACAGGTGGCCGGGAGGCTTTCAGCACAGCCCCCTGCGGCCGGACAGTGAAGGGAGATTCCAAGTCGCCCCTCTTGGCACTTCCAGTGGTCAGCTTGAAACTGTGGAGAAAGGGAAAGCACAGGTGCCACCAGCACAGCCAACACTTTGCACAGGACCAGAAAAAAAAGAAAAGGGAGCAGCACGGGAACAGGTTCTAGCCATGGACAGAGGGAGAACGCAGGCCTGGGAGCCTGAGGAAAAGCTCAGCACCAGGCAGCTGGACTCACCTGTACTCAATGTCATACAAGCCTTTGTTCTGCAGACTCAGGACTTGCTGCTTATTATCCAGGACATTAATGGTTCCAAATTCCAAGCTGCCATCTGGACCTGCAGAAAACCCGCAGAGCGAGGTAAGAAATGGTGAATATTTGTGAGCTGCTGCAGAGCACACCAGCTCACAAGCTACACAGTTGGAGTTCTTGGATGGCACAAAACCCTCTTCAGCAAGTGTCCCTTCTCAGAAGTGTTCTCTAGCTACTTGGCTGCCCTTTCTCTTCTCACTCTAGTATCTGCAGGGTAGAAGCCAAGGAGCTTGGTTTCCATTTCCTTGCTTCCAAGCACAAATCCAGCTACTTTATGTGCTCTGCTGAGCCAACTGCCTGTTCAGATGACTGTTGTTTCAAAGCACCAAATGCAATCTGCACATGAAGCTGCACATTTCTAAGTTCAGAAGGGAGAGACTCAAGGCTCTTGGTGCCCTGACAGTGCTTTACTTCACGCAGCTTGCAAGGTCTGTGCTTTATGGATCTGTGCCACCCTTGCCTGCTATGCCATCCCCTCCCAAGGGCTTTGGTTGCCCACCTGCCAAGGTAGTAAAATGCACCCGGACTGTGTTGTCTGGGAGGCATCCACTGACCTTCCTTCAGGCATGTTGATGCTCAGATTAACATCGTAGACCTCCACAGAGACTTTGATGGTTTCAGCCTGAACAATGCCCAGGATGTTTTCTGTATCTGAAACCTGAGGCAGCAAGAAACAAACACTGCTTAGACCATTCTTTTGGAAGACAGCCTCTAAGTCCTTGTCTCTGCCAGCTGCTTCCCCCATGGCCTCCCTGGCTTGACAAGTGTTTGTGGACTCCCAAGTTTTCTTAACCTGTTCATCTCACAGGCTGCCCCGGCGGGATTCCGCTGCAGTAAGAAACCTTATCAGCCCAATTCCACACTCCCACAGCAGGGAATGGTGCTGCTAAAGCACCCTTGAGAGGGCCAGGGCTGTAAACACAACCACAAGAAATGCGAGGTGTCCCAGAGCAGGTGGCATCGACAATTAGCGCCCTCCTCGTCAATCACCTCGCATGTTTGCTGAAATGCAGCCTCTAAACCACAGGGAACAAAATCCCAGAAAGGGTGCAGAGGGAATGGTGGTCTGTACAACCAAACAACAGCCTTCAAGCCTGCACAGCAGCAAGGTGGCTGTGCTACAGGCTCCGGATGCAGAGCCTGGGCACCCGGCCAACCCAGCACAGAGGCAGAAGTTGGGGCCACAGCACCCCCGTGTCTGTCAGGTGCAGCTCTCCCTGACTCTGTCCCTAAGAGCACACGGCTGCTTGCTCTGCCCTGCTCTGCCAGGCAGGCCCAAGTCCCTCTCACCTCTAGTCGGATCATCTTATTTGTGATGCCAATCTTCTCGGCCTTGAAATCCAGCTTCACCTCAAAGTCTGTGCGGGGCCCAACGATGCCCCTGCCTTGTGATGCAGAGAAGTCATCTCCAAGGTCGTCCAGCCCACTGAGATGCCATGCCATGGGCAGTGGGCTGTCGTTTCTCAGGACCAGGGTCTGGGTGTCAGTCCTGCAGAGACAGGAAGACACTCAGTGTCAGTGCTGGGTGGTCACACCAGCCTGGCCACTGAATGCGGCTCAAAGCAGCTCCATCTGAGCCTCTGGAACCAGAGTCAAACCTCTTCTCTTTGTCACGAGCCTTGGAGTGCCCTCAGCCGTGGGATGACTGACCTGTGCTTGTTGAAGTGAAGCTGCTGGGGGCTGACCCCCGGCTTCACGTGCACCCCTTGGCAGCACAGTCGGAAGACCACTGGCTCCGGGTTGTCCTTGATCCAGCAGACGAGACTGTCTCCCAGGAGGCCAGCAGAAGTCGGGTACGCCCAAACACTCAGCTTCTGAACCCGTCCCCACAAACAGAAATACAAAGAGCCCTCTGTGAGCAGGAGGAACGGCACTTCTGCGGTCCTGCCCTACCTGCTCACCTCCTACCTTCTTCTCTTTGGGCTGCAGCCTCATGCTGGGAGGGTCCAAAAGGAACGTCTCTCCTTTGCTGTTGTTCTCAAAGGAGAAATGCACCTCTGCCTCCATGGGGGAGTCGTTGAGGATGGGTAACTTTTCGCTGTTGCTGGGGCAGTTCTGTGCCTTGTACCTGTCCAGAGAAGGGGAAAAGGCTGCAGAGGAGACTGTTGCCCTCACCACACACCGAGGAAAGCACCGTGTGCCGGCAGCAGGAGGTGGCACTGGAAGACCATGGTCTAACAAGCAGGGGAAGAAAAAGGATCCCTGTCAGGGGCACGAGGCACGGTCTGTGTGCTCATCCTTGCCTGGCTTTGATGCCTGCCCCTATACCTGGTGCCTGCACCCCAGAAGCGTGACGATGCACAGGCCAT